AAGTAATTATTTTTGGAGCTTGGTGGACAGGAGAACCATGAGGCTTTTGAACTAGTCCCTTTAAATATCGCCGAATCATCTCTCTCTTGTGGAACAGAGGATAATAAGTTTAAGAGGCTTTAAAACTTTCTACAGGATGCTAAGTCATGGTAAAACTAAACAATGGGTTACAGACTGCTAGAGCAAGCCAATCTGTATGCATATGCCTGACACTGTTCTCTATAATTTTCCTTAGGTGTTCACAAGGAGAATTTTGTTTAACAATCAATGGTTTCTTTAGATTGTGATTATTTTCTTTATTCTTGTGACCTTAATGTGTGTGATTCACGGTTAATGTTTTAATGTCTTAGGGGTCAAAGAGTTAAGAAAGAAATTATTCCTTTCTTTTTTCTTATTATCATTTTTTTTAATCTTTTATTTCTTTCAAAAGACAGTAATGAAATATAAAATATTCCTAACAATTAATACTTACAACATTAAAGTAGATTACCTCATGCGCTGTACATAAGCTAGTTTCTTATATGTTCAAAAATTTTTACAACAGGTATAGAACTAACAATACTGCAATTCTATTTGATTCTCTATAAATGCCACTCTCATGACCGTGTAACAAAATCCATAATTTCATGGTGTATTATATAAATAAAACCGCAATGCATAACTTACTAAAAAACTTATCTTGCCTCATTGGTCGAGAGTCATTATCAGTACGGGTAACATCATTGGAAATGACGTCATTAAACGCTGTACATGCAAGAGTTACAAACTCGAAAGTACTTATAAATTCATTTATTCAGATAAAGCTATAATTTCTAGAATTAAATTTTCGTAACTTTTTGTACATTCTTGTTTTAAAAGCTAAGGAAATAATTCTTTAGTGTCTTTGAGAAACACGAAAACGCGTACGGTTGGATCACAATCACACGACAGCTTCATAAGTCCTGGGAGAAGCAACAAAATGGCTGAGGAGATTCCTTAGAGCCTGGCGATAATTTGCATTGGAAATAAAACAGACACAAGGGTTTATAGCACAATTGGATATTGCTAAAAAAAAGGCAATATGTTCGGAATGTCGGAAGCTACAAGATGATCCGGTGCTTGAGAGGCGCCGAGTGATTGCGAAAGGCAGCCAGCAGATTGCAAAAACAAACACTATTACAATAAACATCCTCAGAGCATTTCTTTGTCTCTTCAAACCTTGTCTCCTTGTGTTAAAGGAAGAGTTCCTCGGAATATCATGGGATTTAATTCTTAATGCGATAAAAAAGTAAAGTACGGCGATTAGGATCAAAGGAATGAACAAAAATACCACATGTTTCGCCAGGATGTAAGCTTGGTATAAAGAGGACTCTCCAAATGTGTCGTTCCACTTTATTTCACACTGCAGCGCCCCTTGATTCTCGACAACTTTAAAGGCGATCAGGTTTGGGAACTCAACAGCTATGGCGATAATCCAGGTGGCAAGAATATAGAACCGGCACATCTTTGAACTGATGAGTGGGGAGCGAAGAGGAAAAACCACACCTCCAAATCGATCCACTGCTATCAGAACAAGGCTTTGTATTGACACCACTACGGAGGTATCTCCTGAGAAGGAAGCCAGCTTACACAAAGACTGGCCGATAGGGCCGTCACCGCCTTGCCATGATTTGGTGTATAAATATACCAGCTTCATCGGAAACAGGAATGTCGGAATGAGCAGATCTGACATGGCCATGTTCACGAATAAGAAGTTGACAGGCTTCCTTAATGGTTTCGTCCTGTAGACAATTATTCCAATCAAGGTATTTCCAACCAGCGAAACTACAAACAGCAGAGAGTACGCAAAAGTGTCCCCTATTTTAACAGCTGAAGAATCGTAGCAC